TAAACCTGAAAAATTGATCTAGAACGTTAAATTGAAATGTATTTCAGTATCCCAATTGAATAAACAAATCATAACCCAGAAACCTAAGTTTCTTTACTCATCCATTGCTAGGGCTTTCGCTGTAGATAGGGCTTCCACATACAACACATAAAATTAAGCAGAACTCGAAATGTTAGTAAGTATCCCAGTATTATCCGAAAATATCGTAACCATTACCAAAGCGAATCAAAAAGAAACTGCAGCTGAATTCCCAGCTGGCCCCTCTGCGATCGATCCACCCCTATCGCGTGCTAGCAGCGTGTCGATAGGATCTTCGGCAGCTGATTGCTCGCGAACGACCATCCTGCGAGCATTAATAATTCGGTCGTGCGAGATTCCTCGGTCGGCCCACTTATTCCGCATTCCTCGCGGACACACGTATACACGTGCACGACGCTAAAGTTTAGCCTCGGGTATCGAAGGTGGCGGGACTACGCCATTGGCGGGAGCAACAAGAGCGACACAAAGCCGGGAGCGACGGCGCAAACTATTTATTTCATGGGCTTCCCCCGTGTAGACGACGCGCTCTCTCTCTTTCTCTCACTCTGTCAGCCCGTCCCTCCCTCTACTCTAGCCACCCCTCTAGCCCCGGTCTCGGCCGGGTCGTTTTAATGGCCGTCGTTGCAGGCTCGTGTGCGTGGACGTGTGTACACGCGAGCCGTATATCAACGGGCGCGCAGGCTACATAAGGGGAAGCGGCGGTCGGTATGCGAGGAAGGCGCACACCAAGGCACCGGGGCTACATAAGGGCCACATAATGTGCGTGGCCATGTGCATCCGCCGGAATGCGACGGCCTAGGTGAAATGCCTGGTCCCGTGCCAGATACTTTAACCTCGATTCACAATAAAACGGACTGGAATCTTCTTTTCTGGCACTCCGGATGGAGGAGGTCGTGACCTGGACCGAGGGAATCCGCGCTAATGCTGTCTCGGGGAACGATCACTGACTTGCGCATTAACGCGACTGTTTGTTAGTAATGGTCGAATCGGGAGTGACCTTTCGTAACATTTCTCTTTTCTCTCGTTCTCTTTTTTGATTTTTCACTTTTAGAGGTATCAAGTGTCAGTTCTTGTAAAAGGATCTTTTGTCGATTTATGCAGTACGGAGTAGATTGTTATATTTGTCACATGCTTGTGAATAATTTTGAATATTAAGAAAATTGTTTATTTAAAAGTTTTGTGACCTTTTTGTAGAGCATTTGGAATTGAAAGGTTAAGCGAACGGTTCCTAAATTCGGTCAAGATTTTCAGGGTTCTTGATGCATTATTTTTTTACGCTTTTCTGGATGCTTGTTCTAATTCAAAAGGGAAGATCATATATTTAAATGGTATTCTATTTAAGGCTGACATGGATATATAAATCGTGGAACCCTCGCGTATGCAATGAAACTGAAGCTGTAACGAAATTTCAGTAACATTTAACTTGTTCCTAACTTTCTGGAACTTCCGACCCGGGGAATGAAGCACTGTTTTATTTCAATTCGCCTGAACTCCCAAATTTGAATAAACGTACCGCACGTTCTTATCACTTATGCGAACGACACAGTAAAGTTACGAATATTATTCTGTTTCTGTTTTATCAATATAATCTGTTGGATGCACGAACCATCAGCAAACAAAAAGAGCCGCAATATTTTACTATCCTCAGCACATTTCATAAGTAGAATCAGTTAGTCATGAACAGACTCGCCGAATTATGAAATTTGTCACCAATACTTTATATTTAAAAACTATCCTTTATCTTTTCAATTGATACTTGTGCAAAGTGTTTCTTAGAAACTGTATAAACAATTAATTCGCTTGCCATAAAAGTAACTTTCTTCGTTGTCAGATAGTCACCTCTGAAATTCGAGTTAGTCTTTGCAGCGATCCTGCTTATCACCGTGGAATCTCCACGGAGGCGATTCCCGATCGTCTTTTCGAATATTCACGAGCGATGCAGGCTTTTAATTTCTCCCGAGGCGATCTGGCCCTCCTCCCTCGAGGGCTTGTTCCCCGAGAATATTCACCGACCCATAATCCAGCCGCGTATCCTTTCCACGCTCGTAAATTCGCTTACGTCCCGCCTTCTCTCGGTTTCTGCGTCGCGTACCTGGTGGCCCGTTTACGCGCATCTATACAGAGTGGTTCTTCAGACTAGAACCTCCTCGATGAACAATGAAACATCTAATAAACGTTACCCCGCATTAAAAGTAATATTAAAGTTGATGGGATAACCATTAAATTGTTCAAATATTTGAAGCAGTCCTTTGCGGCCCAAAATCTTCTTTTTTTCACTTTAGAACTTCCATTATCGTTACTCAATACCATTATATCTTAATACATCACTTTACTCGCTTATCTAAGAACATTTAGAAACCTCCAAAATTCTGTTTATACACGATGTGATTGTGATATTACGAATAATTATATGAAACATTGGTAAAACGCGTAGCTGTTGAAATAAGATTGAATGTAGAAAGAACTCGAACGAAAGATCTCAATGAATTAAATTGAAATAAGTGGCTATAATGATTCTCGAGTGATGAAGAATCGTTCGGAATCGCTTGTGGATCACCCAGTACGCAAAACGATGCGCCACGTTTATCTCTAGCTGCGTCAGTGCTGTCGCGTTTATCTACGGTAATAAATGCGCCGGTCGAACAAAGACGCGAACCACCGCCAACCCCTTTCATCCGCAACCCTGTCCACGTTTGCCACCGGTGTCCCATGGCGTGACTTTACGAGCGACGACAAAGCGACCAGACTGACATTACGATCGTCCCACTGCGGGGCGGACATGACAAAGGAGTCTAGTTGAATCGGTCAAAGATTCAAATGTATACCGGGCCCTCTGATGCAGTCCCTGTCGCGGTCCACACTGAGACAACGCTCGCGAGAACGTTCATTGTCTTCGTAGCGCCGTGAACCTGGATACAAGGATAACCCGTGATCTCGGCGTATTTGATCAGTATAATGAAACAGACCCCGGGATTCTGGTTTATTGAACAGTTTTTCGAGATAATTAGGTGTTTCTGATTTTCATGGAAGAAGATGGAATCTGGACCATAGACACACGGTCTGGTAAATGTCTTTTTATAGCAGGTTGCTATGTGCTTGTTTTAGAAAACAAATTTGAACTTTTTTTTATTCATAGCTTCGCTGGTATAAGCTTCCAAGAAGCGTTCTTTCTGCAACTTGGCAAGAGTAAGTTTGTGAACTTAACGAACGTAAAAAGGAAAAAGATACTGAGAGTTAAAAATAAGACGCTTGAACCATTGTTCAACTTGATTATTTCAAAGGTACAATCCATTGTATTTAACCTTTCGCGAAGTAGTAGAAATTACTTTAAAGTACCATTATTATGAAAATTCTAATGAAATTGAATTTAAAATAAGAGTACATTTGTCTTCGTTGTTAGTTGAGCAAAACAATCCTAAAATATCTCGATCAATGAGACTAAAAAAAACAACGACGCAATGTGAAAGTAATAAAGGACATGTAGCATTATAGAAAATGAATGTAGAGGAGATTAAGTTTCGATTAACTCGAAGATATTCATTTACCCGAACAGTAAAGAATCAATCGAGCAGCGTTTGTCGTAAAATATCCGATCAGCTCGGCTCTCCTTTCTTAACGGTTGTTCCGGAATAACCGAAAACTTTCATAATCGTTAAAGAATCGCCGGCGAATATCGGTTCGCCGGTCGAGAACGCCGCGTACATACCCGTCACGATCCAAGCTCCAAAGTGGAAAAAGATGTAGCTACACGGCCAGGAGATTATGCCCGGCGGCGTCGCTGCACTTTGCCCCGATTCGTGAGCGGACCCTCGATGCGCATCGACGGGACTCGGTCAGGAAGATAACGAGCCGCGCTTACATGAAATCTCCGGCTCGGATTTTTTCGCCTGCAGCGAATCGTCCGCAGATCATTACCAGACAACCGTATCTCTTTAAATAGACACTCCACAGCGTGAACGTCCCGGAAATGTTCCATTGCGATTCCGAGTAACTTGGGGAACAGTTAAACAGAGTTGAAACAAGCGTGCGGCTCGATGAATGCAAAACGCGGAGAGAAAAACAAACTTCGAATCGATTAGTTCAAATAAATGAATGAGA